AGGAATATCTCTCGAAAAAGAAATCGTAATATATTTTTCATAAAAGGGAGAGAGTTTATATTTTAATATAAAAGAGGAGAGTAATGTAATAGGAATATTTATCAAAGAAAGAAAATGCAATTTATTCTTTTATACTATATAGTTATTGATGAATTAATACCTCTATAGTGAGTGTTTTGGTGGCACACTCTTATTTGTCTGCAACATAGATAGTTAGTTATATAATAAAGGGGGCTAATAACAATCAACTTTCTAAATAAATAAAAAAGTTCACCTTTTCTGCTAGTTCATTACAAAGCTGGTATTCAGAGAAGATTATTTAAAGATTTTATTAGCTGGCCAGTGAGTTGATTATCCACTGCTATATATATATATATATATATATATATATATATATATATATATATATATATATATATATATATATATATATATATATATATATATATATATATATATATATATATATATATATATTGCTGCTTTTTCTTAATGTCACTACAACCCCATCCATTACTAAAATCGTTAGACCTTATCCTTACTTATCAAGCTTATAATTACGGTTAGATTATGCATGTGGTGGAAAACGAGGTTCCGGACTAAAAACTACTCCTATATCTTTAAATTATGCTATCTTATAAACGACTTTTTTCATCATTGCCCGCCAAAATAGAATATACAAAACAAAATCTAACTATATGTTTGTTCCATTAATCTTGCATTATTTATAATAAGAATCTAGATGTTTGTTTATTTATGATTTAGTTTGTTATAACTAATTTAGTTAAGTTACTTAGACTTGTTTTAGTAAAACTAGATTTTCAAGTGTATATATTTTTATATTACAAAACATTGTTAATTAAATTGGGAGGTTTTAATTTTTTTATATATTATAAACAACAATAACAAATAAAATAAATGATTTAAAGAAAATTTAATAATGTAAGTAAATTCAGAAAAAGAAAGAAAAATATAAAAGATAAAAGAACACAAAATTTGTTTATTCAGTTCGATCAAATAATTTACTCTAAAGAGAAAGCAATTCTCCAATTCATATTATATTTCAAAAATTGTTACAAGATATTATAAAATAAATTACGAAAGTGGAAAATAATTGATTTTATATATGTTTGAAACTCCGATGGATCAGAAAAGGGATACTACAAAAAGGAGGTCAAAATATGAGGAGTTACTCAAAAACCACATGCAAAACATCTCGAATCACTTGGAATAGGTCCATCGAATCAAGTCTAGGTTTGGGTATAAGAATGCCACCTATTATCTCCCCCTTTCATAATGCTGGACATAAGCGGCCACAACATCATCCTTAAGCGATGATGTCTCCTCTTCCAGACTTTTTATAGAGTTAAAAGCTTTCTTGAGTGACTTATCTAGGTGCTTCTCTTCCTCAACATGAGTTTGGGCCTTAGTAGCCACTTCTCTGGCACAGGTCCCCAAATAATCCCATTCATTTATCATAGCCTATACTATTTTTCAAATCTTATTGAATGCTTCCTACGATTAAGTTCATCCATGACTGCAACTCATTGATCTTTCAAAAATATTTCTCGCGTGGGTCCTCTTCACTAGGAGACATCGCAATATTTGAACCATTAGAAGGTTCGTTAAGTAGGCGAAAGACTTGTCGGAAAGTGAGTGGTAGTCGCCATGGAAGATCTCTGAAAGGGAGATGTGGAACTTAGAGAACTCCATTGCTGTAAAGGAAGCATTATTTCACAATGAGGGTCCAGGAGCTCTAGTCAAATGGACATGTCTATCACATACCTTTTCTATCTTGTCTGTTATTTGATGGCTTCCCGACGCTATTGAATAACCTTTCTTCCACCTCTGATTTTTTTTTGGGGGGAGGGGGGCGAGCATCACCAGCACGAGATGTCTTGCCTTGTCGCTTCTCTCCACCCACAATTAAATCTGTTGGGAAGGGCGGGAGCATGACCTCTGATTATTGTGTGGCTTACATTCCAATCAAGCTTTCCCTTCGCTTGCCAAGAGATACCCCAGTCATATCCTCTATAAAAGGGCCACTACTAATACATATAAAACAATAAATAGTGGATCAATTCAGAAGGTTCCTTTCATATTATAAATCTTACCTTATGTACCTCATTACCATCTTCTCGGTCCCAGGTAATTAAAGTATAATAGTTCAGAGGCCAGAATCAACTCAAAATATGGATCACCTCTCATTCAAGGGGAGGAGTGGCGCTTAAATCTATCCATTTGTTAAGATGAGGATCTGGTGCCATGATAAATGAAAGTGATGGGCACTCATCACCCTTGTGGTCACCATGGAGGCGTTGCCTTGCCCTATGACCCGCATGAATTTATCTTTCAAATTCTCATAAGGATCCATATAGGGCTCCAAAAAACATTTACCTGGTAGAGTATGCAAAGTTATCAACCATTATTGGGGAGAATCTCTATGTTAAAGAAGAAAAGGAATACCCAAACAATGGGGGTGAGGCACCCAAGTTACAACTAATTATCTGGAAATCCCTAAGAATTCTCCATGCGTTGGGTGTGATATGGGAAATGGCGATAGTAATATTCGCCAGATACTCAGCCTCAAAAGATGTAAAAAGGATCAAAACCCCTAACTCATGGATAACAGGTAGGTAAAAGTACAAATAAGGAGCAAATGACCCGCCCACAGTGGTCATATTAGCTCTCTCAACTTATGAACAGGGTTCCAGGACCACATCCTCTTCGCGTTTAGTATTAGAAAATCCAATATCCTGGCAAAACCTCCTGATCATATCAGAATTTGAGTATAGGGACATAATGTCTCGAATATTAGCATATTTGGTTTTCTTCCTAGCCATTATCTTTCGATGAAAGGAATGAGAAAGAGGAGAATGACATTGTTTGTGCCCTAGGAAGAAGGAAAAATCTTGTAATCCTTTTTTCCCTCTATGAATCTTTTCTAGGTCTGTGTATTTTTCTTGAGGAAACAAAATGAAGACTCCGAAAGGAAAGAAAAGGGAAAATATTTCCCTAGAAAATATATCAGGATCTTTTTTAGAAGTCAAGTAGCACAAGTAACATACCTACTTCATGGAGTAATTGGTGCAAGGAGTAGAAAGGTTTCCAAGCATTAGGGATACGTGTAATAAAAATGGGTTAGGTTGGCTTTCCCTAGGAAAATCATCATGAGTTATATTAAATGCCACTCACACTCTTTCCCCACTAAGTGATCAATCTTTCATAGCTAACTGACGTTTTGACGTCTCTAGGTTCATTCGAGTGATGTTTGATATCCCCTGCTGACATTTGGCTACTCATGAGGCATCTGGAAAGGAGTTAATGACTTTACCCTAATTGACGGATTCACTTCCCACTAAGCCTTCAGTTGAGGGACTCACCCCATCCGAGGGACTCGCCTTCTAATAAAGGAGTAGCCTTCAACTAAGGGACCCACCCTCAATTGAGTGACTCGCCTCCAACTAAAGGAGAAACTTTCAACTAAGGGACTCACCCCTAACCATAAAGTTTGACCCCATGGAAACTTAAAAAACATGTCTCACTTTATAAGTCCTTATGATTGAGGAATTGTGTAGTGATATATTTGCAAAGACCCAAAAAGGGGCGACAAATATCTTTCGTTGGGCATCCTCCCCATGAAGCGTTGCCTTTACGTAGCATTATGGCTTTCCCTAGGCAGAGACGTGGGTAAGACTGTTTATCTAATCCCTAACACGTGTGTGGAGTCATGCCATGACCCTCTAAGAAATAGGTAGTCATTAGTTTCCTCCAATTAAGGGGATTAAAGGGGGGTGGGTGGGTTAACATACTCATAACAACGCATAAACACATAGCTTCTTATATCACATGAGCTTGCTCTCTCCATAGTAAAAAACACCACCCAACAGGGTTACTCACTCTAGTGAGCAAAGCCATACACCACCAAAATTTACTAAGGCCTCTGATCATCCCCTACCTGTGTAGAGATACGACGCATTTGTACTTTTTGACAAGTACAAAAGGTTTTCAAAAGAGTCGTTACAAATCAAATATAAGTCCTAATAGTTGATTATGGAAGTTACAAAAAGAGAGAATTGGTTATGCCTATAGAATAATCAATTATACATTATAATTTTTCTCATAGAAACTTGTTGAGCTTCTAGCCAACTAGTAGGCAATAAACATTTTCTAATGGTTGTAATAAAAATAGATAGGCTTTCAGATCATTTGAAAGTGTATGTGTAATTTGCCTTAGTAAATTTGAGAGTTAGTGTTATACCTTTACAGACACAGATCACTCAACACAGATTCAATGAGCTTTCACACTTCATTTCTTTCATAACTCTAAAACTTATGGTTCCTTGTTACATTATATTTGACTTTAACACTTCACTAGAACTTTGAATCTTCTTTTGATGAGGCTTGAGATAACTCTTTAAGCTAAACACCATCTTAAGACACACTGCTTGATCAAAATCTTCACTGACTCCACCAAATGCCGCTTTACTTAAGGTATTGTCCTCAAGAGATAAACTTTGATAACTTGATTTTTTTTTCATCTTCAAACACCACAACTTGATCACCATATGAGATGACGCTTTCACAAAATAATATTGTCATCATCAACAAAAGATGAAGTTGATCGGCACTTTTGATAAGATCATATATTTAATTTATGTTGTCAATATAAGTCTTTGAACCTTGAAACACACCGTAATTCTAATGAGTCTCAATAAACCATCTCAACTAAACTTTAAAAACCTTTCCAAAACTAACATAATTAACTATTAAAATAATAATAACTACTTTTGCTTATCTGACCGCCCATCTCAAACTTATGGGAATCTCCACGTCCTCTAAATGTACCTAACTCTATGCATTAGTCAATTAACACTTTTTTAATTAAAAGCAAGACCTTTAAAAATTAGAGATTTACAACAAAGATTTCCACCATATTCCACTATATATATAAGCTATTCATAACGTCCATACAACATCAAAAAGTGTAAAAAGAAATAATGAAGAGAAACATAAATTTTTCTCTAATTTTTTTCCTGTCTTTGTTATTGTTTACTTTTGTCACCTTCTCTGTGGATGCAAGGAAGACTAACATGAAGAAAAAACTTCACAAACATCACAAAGACTCACATCCTCATCCAACACAAGTAAACACTTATGATATTATGTCTTTTGGTGCAAAGGGCAATGGAGTTTTTGATGATTCAAAGGTAATCAAAAGCATTTAAATCAAAATGATTTTCAACTGTATAATAATTTTCATGAAAATGAGTTTCAAATGCTTATAATGTTAATTAACCAGGCATTTTTAGCTGCATGGAAATCTGCATGCAAAGTTGTTGGTGCCACAATAAAAGTTCCTGAAAAATTCAAGTACCTCATTAAGGCCATTACTCTACAAGGCCCTTGTATGCCTAATCTTACTCTTCAGGTTCATTTTCTCTTACTCTTTTTTGTATTGTGTTTAAATTAGTCTCATAATAGTAATTTACCATAATGTTTTATATACTGGACCAGACATCGAACCGGTAAGACCTCTGAGTCATGGTTCAACCGTCTTAACCCGCTTATTGAATTAAGACTAGTTAAGGTTTTTATGTAAAATTTATGTGACATTTAGAATATATAAGTTAATGCAAACTGAATTATAACAGATAGATGGAACAATATTGGCTCCTCCTGAAGTAACTTCATGGCCAAAACCTAGTTTGTTTCAATGGATAAATTTCAAATGGGTGCAAAACTTCACTATCAAAGGCTATGGAACTATTGATGGTCAAGGCTTTAACTGGTGGAACAACTCAGAACTTTCTGATATACAGGTATCATTTTAAATTGCAACGTGCCAACTTTTATATTATGGCCCCAATTGCGCATTTAAAATTTTTTTGTGTGCAGAAAACTCACTCTAAACAAATTCCAAGTATGAAGCCAACGGTACGATTTTTCATTTTTCCATCACAAACTAACATAATTTTGTTTTGGTTTAGAGCCTAAATTTTTTCTCATTATTCTTGTTTAACACTTGTATATGCAGGCTATAAGATTCTACTCTAGTAACCTTATAAGGGTTAGAGATATCAAAATAATAAACAGTCCTCTATGCCATCTAAAATTTGATAACTCAAATGGAATCAAAGTTGATAACATTACAATATCTTCTCCTCAAAGTAGCCCAAATACTGATGGAATTCACCTGCAAAACACACATGATGTAGAAATTCAACATTCTAATATCGGAACCGGTAACACATGCATTAAACTTACTTTTTATATACTACTTATCTATTTAATATCAACAGAGACACGTCTGATTACATTAAAAAGTGTCAACATGTTAATATCCATATCATTAACATTAGTATCAGCATAAGTATCGTGTTTCTGTAGTCCGAACTAGTACTTCATATATTATTGTAGATTCCATTTTTACCTGAAAAAGTAGAATCTAGTAAATTATAAAGGATGGCCAATATATATGGTGCATTGTCCACTTAGAAATGTTGAGCTTAAATTTGACAAAGAATGATTGGCTGAAAAAGTCTAAACGGTAAACTGTCACAGCAACTAACTTTTGAGACGTGCAGTTTATAAAGTTAAACTAACTTTAACTATATTAAAGTTATTTTTTTACGAGAAGCTTATAATATTAACACTTGTTTTTATTTTATATATTATTATCAGGTGATGACTGTGTGTCCATACAGACCGGTTGTTCTAATGTTCATGTCCACCACATAAAATGTGGCCCTGGTCATGGCATAAGGTAATAAGAAAAATAAAATAAAGAACCTAACTAGTAAAAGTGTTATATTTTTCATTGTATTATTAGCTATATAGCCACTAATCATTATACAAAATTGATTTTGTGAATAAAATCAGTTTAGGAGGATTAGGAAAAGACAAAAGTTTGGCATGCGTCTCTGACATCATTGTTGAGGACATTGCAATGAAAAATACTCTATATGGAGCAAGGATCAAAACATGGCAGGTATTGACCTAATTAGGAATTACTCTTTTTTTTTCTTTGAACTATTGGCTTAAATCGCTGAAATTCCATCTCTTAGGTGAACAAATGATATGTTAATGGTCGTTAAGATCCATCCCATAAAAGTCTATAAAAAAATAGGATGAGACGGAACGAGCATAGTTGAGAGTACGAGTCTAAAATTATGATCTGTCATGTAAAAATTTATAAAAAAATTGGGCATAACAGAGCCGACATAGTTTAGGGTGTGGACCTAAAAACTTAGTCCATCCCACATAAAAATGAGGGCGAGGCGGCACTATACCTCTGAAGTCTAAAAATGCAAAAAAATATGTTTACGCCCGCGCCAGCAAAATTCTTTAAAAAACAGGATGGAGCGAGGCGAGCGCATTAGAGGGTGCGGATTAAAATCTTGGTTCATTCCATAAAGAAATATGGGTAAAACGGACAGATTCGGCAGGACAGACCTATTTTGCCATCCATACATTACGATGTCTCTAAAGAGTTTTGAACTGAACTAACTTTTAAAAATAAAAAATCTTTTTTCTCTAATTTTTTTTGGCTGTATATATTGATTTCATGGACATTAATTTGAGTAAATTTAATTTTTGAATAGGGAGGAAATGGCATGGTTAAAAATGTAACATTTTCAAGGATCAAAGTGCATGATGTTATGTATCCAATAATGATAGACCAATATTATTGTGACAAACAAACATGCAAGAACCAAACAGGAACAGTGATGATTTCTGGTGTTAAATTTGATCAAATAAGTGGTACCTATGCAATGCAACCAGTTCATCTAGCTTGCAGCAATTCCATACCATGCACAGATGTTGATTTAACTGATATTCAGTTAAGGCCTTCCACTAAATATAGAGGCTATGAACAAGCTATGTGTTGGAACTCTTATGGAAAATCACAAGGTGAATTGGTGCCTTCAAGTATTGATTATTGTTTGAGAAGTGGTGGTGGGTTAATCAAGAGGATAGCAAAGTCACGTGATAGTGTGTGTTATAAGTTGTTGTAGATGTTATGTTTAGTTAGCTTTGGTTTTCTTTTTTTGGTAGCTTCCCTTCTTCAAATACTTTTTTTACTTTGTGAAGGTGAGGATGGTGTAAATTCTAGTATGTTTTCTTTCACAGGATTGTACTAAAAGACTTAAGTTTATTTGTTTGGTGTTAAGTTAGAACAAATATTTGGGTATATTGAGTAGGAGTTTGGGTTTACTTTACGAGAATAATGCTCATTCATTAATAGTGTAAAAATATTTACACTATCGGTTAATTATAATCCTTTAATTTTTGTAAATTGTAAATTTTTATTTTAATCGAATATAAAATATTATTTATGAATGATTGTGATACACTAATTATATATAATATTTTATCTTGATAATGTATAATAATCAATCTCTTAATTTATTTAATTTTTTATGAAAAGAAATCATCAATGAATGTTGGTGTTATTTGTTGGGTATTGATACATTTAATTGATATGCATCCACTTGACAATGTAGCATTATCCAAGTTTGAATTTGTAGTGAGTTTGACTAAAATTATGAGAATTTCTTAACATATCCTTATGTTTTTTAGAGGTCTTTGACAAAAAGTCAAAAATATCTTCAGAATTTAAAAATATGCATATCCGATTTTACTAAATTACATATTTAGAGGGGCTTATTTAGATATATTTGTCTGAAATAATCTTTTTGTTAAGATTAGAGGGTTTCGTATGTGCATCTCCGAATAAACTCCATAGTTTAATTTCAGAGGATTTTCGGATATGCATATCCGAAACGTGTTAAATATATTTTGGCTCAGAATAGAACCCCTCATTCTCTCTTTTGTCCACACTCAAACACTTAAACACCCAAATTCTCTATTTTCCATACTTCTTTGAGTAAGTTACTGAGACTTTCAAGAACCAGAGTTCATTTCAACAACTCCCCAAAGCTCTAAATTTGAGTAAGTTTCTCCGAATCTATTGTTCTACTTTGCATGTGTATAATAGGTTATTTAGAATCATTTAAATTCAGTAGGTTGAAGTATAACTTGTAAAATGTGACTGTTTGGGTGTGAAAATGAAAATTTTGGGTGATTTAGGTTGAAGGTTCGAAAATGGCATCGCAGGTGTTTTGGGGGATAACGGTCACACTTGACGACGTCGCATGCCTGTTACACCTTAATATCGGAGGGAGGTTACTTAATCACTCCCAGATCGCTCGTGGTGAAGTGATTGAATGGATGGTCGAGTATTTGGGAGCTCAACCAAAAAAGGCAGATGAACAATGTTCCTTAACTAATGGGATTTATGCCAAGTTCTCATTCTTGAGCAACCTATATGCAAAGCACCTGGTTGCGGAAGCATCTTCCGAGAGCGAGGGCTGGATGTTTGGTATACTTATACCTAAATCTGAATAAAGCTAATAACTAGAGGACGAGGAAGCTGGCAGGGTCTTGCACACTGCTCACAATACCTTTATTCTTACTATTAAATTTAATTTGCTATTAATAATTTGTTCTTACATAGCTCTTATTCGTTTTTCAAGGATGGGTCATTTCTCACTTCCATCACATTCATGGTTTCAATTTTGATTTGAAATATAGTGAGGAGATGCCGAGGGATGCCATGTATATCCTCCACAGAAGGAATCATTTTGTGTCCTATTTTGGGTGTATCTTGATCAGACTGTTCATGATGACATCATTTGGACGTCATTTGATGATTACATGGAGATTGTCTCCTTCGATCCCATCTCATTATACTCAGGCTGGTTAGCTGGCATGTGAGACTAACATTATGATCAAGTATCTTCCGAAGCTATGCATCCGACAGTTTGGCTATATGGAGACCATACACAAATCTCCCTTTCAGGCGACTCTTGACACCGTTGTCCGTCGGGAGCTCAATGATATCTTCCAGGATTGGCAGAATCATATGGTGTCAAAGGAGTATCGGATGATGCAGCCATCTAATAGTTGACATTATGTAGAGGGATACATGACATGATTCTACACAATGTCACACCATATCTTGACACCTAATGCTCCTAGACGTCCACCTAGGCCAGCTCATGAGGAGATCTTGGAGAACCAGTAGACCTAGGATGACCATGCCACTGATGTCTTATCGTTCTGTCAGCAGATACAATTGATTGAGAAGAAGGCTTTGGATTTAGGGATCATTGAGAGAGGTGGTCCTGAGACGGTCGCCATCGTAGAGAGGATGATTAGGAAGGCATCGAGTGCGACAGAATACAGGAGGCAGAGGAGGGGTCAGGGGGGTTAGGATTAGACATACATTGAGGTTATGCCTTTTTTTATTTACCGATGTAATCATTTTACATTTCGTACTCTCTGAACATTTTATGTATTATTTTTCGATATTTTTGAATAATTCAGTGTTATGTTAATATCATTTTCCATTTGCGTGTTTATTAACGTTTTAACTGAATTATATATATCAAATCTTTGTGTTTATTACGTACCGACATTGATGTTTAAAAAAAAATCATTATATACAGTGTTTCACATATGCATATCTGAAACACCTATTCTCACGTCTTTAGGGTGCTTTCGGAGATGCTTCTCCAAAAATACTATTGAATATTTAAATACAACGTTCAAAAAATAATAATGTGTAAACATGCATGTTTTCGGAGATGTATTTCCGAAATCTCTTAAAAATTGATTTACGGTTCATTCGAAGATACATATCTGAAGATAATTTTAGAATTTTCAGAGATTTAGTTTACCATATAAGAGTGCATTAGGAGATTCTCAAAATTATTATATCTAATAGTTTTGTAATTTATTTCGGTTTAAATTTAATTAGTAGGTCGGGTTTGAATTTCAACAAAGGTATATGAATTAGTAACTTTAATCAATTGTTTAATATCATTTAATTTTATTATTTGAATGATTTATTTAATTTTTTAAATTTGAAATATTTTCAAAATAATTTATTTTATGATTAACTCTATCTAATTTTTTGTGGTGGGTAAATAAATTTTTTTATATCTTTTGGATGATCATTTTCTTCTCAAATTAATTATATATATATATATATATATATATATATATATATATATATATATATATATATATATATATATATATATATATATATATATATATATATATATATATATATATATATATATATATATATATATATATATAATGCAAATAGTACATTTATTTGTAAGAAAATGTTGCTATTATTCTTAATTAGTTAGTGAGAGAATACTTTTGTTTTCTTAAAACTAAATTGCATTTAAAGATTTAATAATTTACATTTTGGTCTAGCATTTTGATCCAAATATTACTTTTTTTTCGTTGAATTGCGTATTTTTGTTAAGTTCTGGGCCTCCCAATTATTGTCTATAGTGATATGATGGATCACACTATTTTTAAGCATATTAGAGTTTCAGAAGTTTTACGAGGCAATATTTTTGTTCAATGAATAGTTTATTGATTAATTTGTAAGATAATATTGAATATCAGAATAACATGAAATAATTATGACACAACTAAAATATAAGAGAATAGTATATAAATGAAAAGGAATACAATTGAATGATTATAGGATGATGCATAAACAACAATATGAGTTCTTCATATATAAGAGACCCATGTACTAAAATAATTTGATACATATTTAGTAAATTATGCTTAATCTTCTCTTTATCATAGAAATCGGTGATTTCTAATGCATTGACATTTTCTACAAAACAAATGACTTTATGTTCTCACAATCTCCCACTTAAAGTCAGTATATTTGTTTCCAAAATTTATATCCCTTGTTAATTCCATGTTGCTACGTTTTAGATAGGCCATAAGAAGAATTCCACCAATAAAACTTGTCAGCATTGATCGGCTTTGTCATAGCATCTGCTAGGTTGTCTTTTGTGTGAATCTTCTGCAAGTCCACACTCCCTTCCTCTACTACTTCACGAACGAAATGGTATTGAACTCCTATGTGCTTTGTCTTGGAATGAAAAGCTGGATTTCTTTCAATGTGCAAGGCACTTTAATTGTCACAATACACAATAATTTTTGGTTGTTTGTATTCGAGCTCTTCCAATAACCTTTGAATCCATATAGCTTCCTTGCATGCTTGGGTAGCTGCCATATACTCAGCTTCTGTAGTAGATAGAGCTACAACAGTCTGTAATTTGGATAACTAGCTTACCGCTTCTCCTGCAATTGTAAACATATAGTCTGTAGTAGATATTCTTTTGTCAAGATTACCTACATAATCTTAATCAACATATCCTTTGACACCAAACTCCAATCCTCCAAAACATAATGCAACATCTGAGGCTCCTTTAATGTATCTCAGGATCCTCTTCACAATATTCCAATGCTCTTTACCAGGATCTGCCATAAACCTACTGACCGCTCCCACTACTTGTGCAATGTCTGGCGTTGTACATATCATGGCATACATAAGGCTTCCCACCGCTGATGCATAGGGTACTCGAGACATTTCCATCCTCTCTGCTTCATTGTTAGGATTCATACTTGAGGATAATTTATAATTGATAGAAAGTGGGGTAGATATTGGCTTACAGTCTTGCATGTTGAAGCGCCGCAAAACTTTTCGTAGATAATTTCTTTAAGAAAGCCAAATCTTCCTAGCTTTTCTATCTCGGTGAATTTGCATCCCTAAAATCTTGTTTGCTGGCCCCAAGTCCTTCACATCGAACTCCCTAGCCAATTGTGCCTTCAATTCTTGGATTTGATCTTTGTTGGGGCCTACCACTAACATGTCATTCACATACAACAACAAAATGATGAAAGCATTTTCCTCAAACCTCTTGTAATATGTGCAATGATCTGAGCTCAACCCGCTGAATCCAAGGCTAATAATGAAAGAATCAAATCTCTTGTACCAACACCTCAGCGCCTGCTTTAAACCGTACAGAGATTTGGTCAACCTGCAAACCAAGTTTTCTTTTCCTTTTTCTTCAAAACCTTCTGGTTGTAGCATATATATTTCTTTTTCAAGTTCTCCATGAAGAAA